TTGAATTGAATTTATTGCACTTATATGCCGCCCTTTTCCCCGGAGGGGACTCAGGGCGGCTCACAATCCAAGTCAGGGAAGGGGATACAGATAAGGGATAAAAAGACAAACGAAACAATACACAATTTAAAAGCACACAACAACCATACCATTCAAGGGGGGGGCAAAAGCTCATCAGCCCCAGGCCTGCCGGAACAGCCAGGTCTTGATAGCTTTGCGGAAAGCCTGAAGGGTGGTGAGGGTCCAAATCTCCACGGGGAGATCATTCCAGAGGGCCGGAGCAGCCACAGAGAAGGCCCTCCCCTGAGGGGGTCGACAGTCGACATTGGCTAGCGGATGGTATTCGGAGGAGGCCTAATCTGTGGGATCTAATTGGTTGTAGGGAGGTATTAATATATTTGTAAAAATAATCATAGAGACTAATGATGAATAGACAAATGTTAATAGCAATTATAAGAATGTATATTTGTGAATGAATTTGAAAGAGAGAAATAAAAAAAAATTAAAAGAAGAAGTTGAGGTTGCCCTATCACCTGAAGTTTTTGAAATAAGTTTCGACAGTTATTTATCCAAAATGGTATAGGTCCCTTCAACTCTGTTAATCTGTTATTCTAGGAGACTAACATTTAAGAATAGAAATTTCAGTTTAAATTTTCTTTTTAAAAAGTCATCTAAATTTTGGGAAATTTTGAAAATGAACTTCTAGAATTTTTAAAAATTTTTTGGGGGGGATCCTTTTAATGAGGTGTCCTGATGGGCCAGCCGAGAGGCATCCCAGTGGCAAGGTGGTCTGGTGGCCCATTTGAGAGATGGAGAGAGAGCCCGGCTGAGAGATGGAGAGGCAGCCCAGCGACTGAGCCGGGCAACTACTGAGTAGAGGTGCTGTAGTGCAAATGGAGGCCAGCTGAGCAGCAGTGAAACAGAGTTAGGTGGCAGCAGATGAGTGGTTGTGAGCATGGTGGACCAGCTGAGCAGCAGCAGTGCAGAGCTAAGTGGCAGAGAAGTGGAGCGCCCAGAGCAGCGACTGAGGGCAGCACAGTGGACCAGATGAACAGTGGCAGTGCAGAGCTAAGTATGACAGTGGACCAGAGAGCAGCGTAACGGTCAGCAGAAGCTGAGAGCAGAGGAGCGGACCAGCCGAGCAGCAGCTAAGCAGAGCAGAGCACTCAGATTAGCACATTGTACCCAAAAACCCCAGCAGTGGCCAGGCAACAGAAGGGAAAGAAAGCAGTGAGGAAAAGGATAAGTAGAAAACACTTTTGGACAAGGAGCAAACGGAAAAACTCTCAAGGCAGGGAGTAGAGGGTTAAGAGCAAAGCATCTCCTAGAAAACAGTCAGTTTCCAGCAAAAAGAAGTGCACAACACTTCATAAAGGGCCAAGAACTTTTGTAAATTTTTAAAATCTCTGAATTTTTTTTAAAGTTTTTTCAAATTTTAAAATGTCTTTTTTCAATTTTCAATTTCTTTAATTTTTAAATTCTTTTTCAATATTTTAAACTATTTTCAATTTTCATTTTTTTCAATTGCTTTCAATTTTTCAATTTCTTTTTTAATTTAAAAAACTGAAGAAACAGTTTACTTATTTTAATTCTTTAGAAATGTTTTAATTCTTAATGATGTAAGAAGAAGAAAAAGTTTAAAATTACGGAAAGAGAGACAGATACTTCAAAACAGGGAAGATAGTGATGAATTTTCAAGGCAAAGAATAAAGGGCCAAGAACTTTTGTAAACTATTGTAAACTGACACTTCACAACAGGGAAAATATTTAATTTTTTAAGAAATTTTTAATTTTCTAGCAAACTAAAAAAAGTCATGGAAAAAGAGACTGACATTATACTTCCATTATGTTATATGTTTGAGCTTATGCCCACAGAAGACCCATACTATGTATGTATCAATTGTAAATTATATGAATTACTAGGAGAAAAAGTGAAGGGTCTAGAGGCAACTCTAGCCACTCTGAAATTCAATTAACAAAGCGAGAAACCCCAACCTAAGCAAGAAGACTACACCAAAATTAAACACAATAGGGAGCAAACAGCTTCTAAAAAAATGACCCCATATATGAACCTAAACAAGAAAACCGATACACCCAAATTCAACACAATAGGGAACAAACAACTTCCGTAAAGAAAAACATTCAGTCTTTTCTTTTTAATAAATTTACAGACATTTCTAAAATTCTGTTTTCACTTTGTCATTGTGGGGTACTGATTAATGAGAAAAAAATGAATGTTAAAAACTGTAGAATCAGGCTGCAGCATAACAAAATTGACAAAAGTGAATGGGGTCTGAATACTTTCTGAATGCACTGTATATTTAAAAAGATCAAAATTTTGTAGGCAGCTGTTTTCTCTGTGACACTCAACCAAAGCAATAATTGGACTTTGAAGAAACAGGATGCAAAGAATACTGACACTTTTGAACTTTGATGTTTGAGAAGATTCACAAAAGTATCATTAATAGCCAAAAAACAAACAAATGGTCCCTAGAACAAATCAATCCAGAGTTCTCACTTGATGCACAAATGACCAGGGTCAAATTATTAAATTTGGACCCATTATGCAAACCCATTCTCCCCATTATGCTGGAGAAAGAAAAGAAAAGGAGAGGAGAGGATGACCAGTAGCAAATTATTACAGTCAAAAGGGGTGCACCATTGGAAGGCATAAAAGGCCAAGATGGGAACAGATATCTTGGAGAAGGTCTAAGACAGTGATGGCGAACCTTTTCGGCACCGAGCGCCCAAACCAGAATGTGCACATGTGCCAGAGTGCCGGAAACCCCAAAACCAGCTGCGTGTGCCAAAAGACAGAAGACCAGCTGGCGACGGCACCTGTGCCCACAGAGAGGGCTCTGCATGCCACCTCTGGCACGTGTGCCATAGGTTCACCATCACGGGTCTAAGAGATGACACAACCTTGATGGCACATGGTCAAAAACACCATTAAGAAGTCTGCTATGAACCCAGCATTTAATATTTGTGTTATCTGTCAAGGAACATAGGAAAAACCATTGTGATACAACACTAGTGTCTTAATAGTGTTCATATTCAAATTAACAATTCATGCCATTTTAGTTCACGGTTAGGTACTTGAAAAGTTAAGAATTCAAAGTTCAGTCTCAGTAATTCCGAAATGTATAGTTATATCTGATGTAAATATTTAAATAAATTTCTACCCTTTATATCTGCAAAACTGGTTACAGGTAGTCATTGACTTACAACCATTCATTTAATGACATTTCAAAGTTACAAAGGCACTGAAAAAGTGACTTATGACCAGTTCTCACACTTACGACTATTGCAGCATCCACAGTCACATGATCAAACTGTGGGTGCTTGACAACCAGCATGCATTTACAATGGTTGCAGCATCCCAAGGTCCTGGGATTGTCATTTGCAACCTTCCTAGGGAGTTTCTGATGAGGAAAGTCAATGGGGGAAGCCAGATTTGCTTAATGACTGAATGATTCACTTAAGAAATATAGTAATTCGCTTTACAACCATGGCAATAATGTCATAAAATGGGGCACAACTCACTTAAGAGCTGTCTTGCTTAGCAATGGAAATTTTGGATTCAATTGTGGTCATAGGTTGAGGACTACCTGTGTGCATGCATTCATTGAAAAACCTCTGTTCTGGATATAATTGTAGGAGATGACCAGGCTGAGCCCAAGGGTCAAACGCATCATAAGTCATGGGTCCCTGAGAGTGCACAAGAGATCTAAATCCAGCCCAGATTGAATGCCTTCTTATTCTGGCTCATTTCCCTTGACCGTTAGTAGGTCAGATTTTTGTAGCGAGCTTAAGCTTGCAATAAATCTTTATACAAGTAGTCCTCGACTTACAACAGTTCTATTAGTGACTATTCGAAGTTACAACAGCATTGAAAAATGTGGCTTATGACCATTTTTCATAATTATCACCTTTGCAGCATCCTCATGATCATGTGATCAAAATTCAGATGTTTGGCAACTGGTTCATGTTTATTACAGTTGTTGTGTCCCAAGGTCACCTGATCAGCTTTTGCAACCTTCTAACAAGCAAAGTCAATGGGGGATCCAGATTCACTTAACAACCGGGTTATTAACTTATCAACTGCAGTGATTCATATAACAGCTATGGCAAGAAAAGTCGTAAAATGGGGCAAAACTCACTTAACAAATGTCTCACTTAACAACAGAAATTTTGGGCTCAATTGTGGTTGTAAGTCGAGGACTACCTGTACTCATTTGAACTGCCTGAATCTCCTTATTTCACTGGCGCTTGACAATAATAACTTTGCCATGAGTACAAAAATTGTTTTTGCATCTTTTGACCATACATGAATATCCTAACTTTTGAGTAAGAAAATGAAAATGTATCTTTCAACCTTTTCAGGAATCTGTGTAAATTGCTATGAAATATTCACTTTGAAAATCAGAGAAATAGGAAGAAGGCGGGGCTTAGCAGTGAGAAGACGGACTTTCAGGCAGCTCCTGAGGGACCATCTAAACCGGGTCATTTGGACAGTTCTTTTTGGACCTAAGCTGTCCCGGAGAGACAGTGAAAGGTAGAGGGAAACCCAGTGGTCCCAGAGACGTTCGCAAAGTCTCTGGGAACCTAGGGAAANGCCACATGACCACGGAGACGTCTTCAGACAGCGCTGGCTCTTCGGCTTTGAAACGGAGATGAGTACTGCCCTCTAGAGTCAGGAACAACTGGCACATATGTGTGAGGGGAAGCTTTATTTTTACCTTGCCGTTCTAAGCAATATATTTTAAGTGTCAGAAAGAGACAGAGAGAGTGAGAGAGGGGAAGAGAAAGAGAAAAGCTAAAGGAGCACTGAGCAGAAAATAAAATCCTGGGGAGTTTTTAGATAAGGAAGTATTAAAGGACACCTTTTAACCTCTGGCTGGACAAAATGATTATTTCAAATACAGTCTTGAATGAGTGCGAGCTGAAACGTTTTAATGGCCTGGATCGAAACATTTACGTGTCTTTTATCTTTATGCCAGTTTACATTTAAAAAAGATGAAGAGTGCAAGAAAGTTTGCGTGAAATCTTATGACCCTCAGAAGCCAGAAGACAAAAACAGACTGGATTTTTTGAAGAAGGGAATGCAGTTGAATTACCAGCATCACTGGTGAGGAGAACGTGTTCTCTAAAAATCACTGATCTGTGCAGGGAAGAATTAAGTGTTCTAAAAATAAAGATGAAGATCATGGAAGAAGCGGTGTTAGCATTAATTGCATTAAGAGTGCAAATGTTTGAAGACCATTTTAAAAGCCTATAAATGCCATGATGTTTATAAATATAGAATCACACAAAGGTTTTTCTTGTTCAGGATTATAGATAACATGCCCGTGACCTGGTGTTACAATGTGGAAGACAGCCTTAAATACTGTAATCCTGGATTTCCTGTTGGGTGTTACATTGCATCAGATGGCCGGATAAAAGATTTCTGTATAATGAGTGTAAGTGAACATGGGTATATTTCTCCTAAATTGATCTGAAGAACAATCAGAAACGGGTACAAGCAGTGTCTTTGTGCATTGTTTGGGCTTGGAATATTAGTAATCCTAACAAATTCCAGTTTATTCAGTAATTGCGATGAAAAGCTATATCAGGACTGTCCAATCTTGGCAACTTTTAAGACCCTGTGGACTTCAGCTCCCAGAATCCCCCAGCCAACCATACTGTCTAAACTAGCGATCTGTGTGGGTCACAATTCCTCCTAGGCCTAGCATAGGGGTTGGCAATCTTAAACACTGAAGGAGCCACAAAAATCTTAACCCGAAGCCCCCATTCAATTCTGGAGCTGATCAGAAATCCAGTTCCCCCACCATAGAATCTCCTCCTAGTGCAATGTTCTTTTTCCCCTGATGACTGGAAGTCCGTTTCCCCCACCATGGAGTCTCCTCCTAGTGCAGTGTCCTTTTTCCCCTGATGACTGGAAGTCCAGTTCCCCCACCATGGAGTCTCCTCCTAGCGCGGCATCCTTTTTCCTCTACCTCTCCTAACCAAAAGTCCTATCAATTGGGGAGTCAATTGGGGAGCTGCAGCAGAGGGATTTGATTTGATTTGATTTATTGCGTTTCTATGCCGCCCTATTCCCAGAGGGACTCAGGGCGGCTCACAAACCAAAGTAAGGGGGGAGGGATACAAACAGAACAAACAACTACAACAATTTAAAAACAATCAACAACTACACACAATTCGAGCGGGGACGGGAACTCGTCAGCCCCAGGCCTTTCGGAACAGCCAGGTTTTAAGGGCTTTGCGGAAGGCCTGAAGGGTGGTGAGGGTCCGAATCTCCACGGGGAGCATGTTCCAGAGGGCTGGAGCAGCCACAGAGAAGGCCCTCCTCCGGGTGGTAGACAATCGGCATTGGCCGGTAGATGGAATTCGGAGGAGGCCTAGTCTGTGGGATCTAATAGGTCTATTGGAGGTAATTGGCAGCAGGCGGTCTCTCAAG